GAACAATAGGAATTGCAATCCAGTGAAAAAAATGATGGAAATCACACAGTCTACCCAAAGAACATTGGGAATTACAATCCAACCAAAGAATGATGGGAATCACAGCCTAGCCAAGGACAATGGGAATTGCAGTTCAGCAAAAGGATGATGAGAATCACAGTCTAGCCAAAGAAGAATGGCAATTGCAGTCCAGCAAAAGGATGATGAGAATCACAGTCTAGCCAAAGAAGAATGGGAATTGCAGTCCAGCAAAAGGATGATGAGAATCACAGTCTAGCCAAAGAACAATAGGAATTGAAATCCAGTGAAATAATGAAGGAAATCACACAGTCTACCCAAAGAACATTGGGAATTGCAATCCAACCAAAGAATGATGGGAATTACAGCCTAGCCAAGGACAATGGGAATTGCAGTTCAGCAAAAGGATGATGAGAATCACAGTCTAGCCAAAGAAGAATGGCAATTGCAGTCCAGTAAAAGGATGATGAGAATCACAGTTTAGCCAAAGAAGGCTGGGAAACAATCTAGTCAAAGAACAATGGGAATTGCAATCCAACCAAAGAATGATGGGAATCACAACTCTGATAAAGAATAATGGGAATCACAGTCTAGCCAAAGAACAATAGGAATTGCAGTCCAGCAAAAGAATGATGAGAATCACAGTCTAGCCAAAGAAGGTTGGGAAACAGTCTAGTCAAAGAACAATGGGAATTGCAATCCAACCAAAGAATGATGGGAATCGCAACTCTGATATAGAATAATGGGAATCACAGTCTAGCCAAAGAACAATGGGAATTGCAGTCCAGCAAAAGAATGATGAGAATCACAGTCTAGCCAAAGAAGGATGGGAAACAGTCTAGTCAAAGAACAATGGGAATTTCAATCCAACCAAAGAATGATGGGAATTGCAACTCTGATAAAGAATAATGGGAATCGCAGTCTAGCCAAAGAACAATAGGAATTGCAGTCCAGCAAAAGAATGATGAGAATCACAGTCTAGCCAAAGAAGGATGGGAAACAGACTAGTCAAAGAACAATGGGAATTGCAATCCAACCAAAGAATGATGGGAATCACAACTCTGATAAAGAATAATGGGAATCGTAGTCTAGCCAAAGAACAATAGGAATTGCAGTCCAGCAAAAGAATGATGAGAATCACAGTCTAGCCAAAGAAGGATGGGAAACAGTCTAGTCAAAGAACAATGGGAATTGCAATCCAACCAAAGAATGATGGGAATTGCAACTCTGATAAAGAATAATGGGAATCGCAGTCTAGCCAAAGAACAATGGGAATTGCAGTCCAGCAATAGAATGATGAGAATCACAGTCTAGACAAAGAAGGATGGGAAACAGACTAGTCAAAGAACAATGGGAATTGCAATCCAACCAAAGAATGATGGGAATCCCAATTCTGATAAAGAATAATGGGAATCGCAGTCTAGCCAAGGACAATGGGAATTGCAGTCCAGCAAAAGAATGATGAGAATTACAGTCTAGCCAAAGAAGGATGGGAAACAGTCTAGTCAAAGAGCAATGGGAATTGCAATCCAACCAAAGAATTGTAATTCAGACAAAGAATGAGAGGAATCATAGTCTAGCCAAAGTAACTTCTCTTGAGATGCAGTTGTCCCTGTCCTGTGGGAAGCTAACTGCTCTTCGTGTAGCTAGAAAACAATGTACTTTACGAGTCCTTCTACTATTATACATGATGATTTGAAGTGTATGTTGATGATATCACTATATCTTTGTCTCCGTCTCTATCGCTATCTCTATTTCTATCTTTCTATCTTTCCCCTTATCTATCTATCTATCTATCTATCTATCTATCTATCTATCTCTATCTATCTATCTATCTATCTATCTATCTATCTATCTATCTCTATCTATCTATCTATCTATCTATCTATCTATCTATCTATCTATGTATCTATCTATCTATCTATCTTTCTTTCTGTCCATCCAGATATCTATGCCTATATCTATCTATCTCTATATGTATATCTATACCAGTGGTTCCCAACTTGTGGAGCACCAGTGGTCCACAAGAACTAAAATATGGTCCTGATTCAGAACATTGCGTTGGCTAGACCACATCAGACTAGATCAGTGTTTTTCAACCTGGGGGCCAGGACGCCTGTGGGGGTCGCGAGGGGGTGTCAGAGGGGTCACCAAAGACCATCAGAAAACATAGTATTTTCTGTTGGTCATGGGCGTTCTGTGTGGAAAGTTTGGTTCAATTCTATCGTTGGTGGGCTTCAGAATGCTATTTCATTGTGGGTGAACTATAAATCCCAACAACTACAACTTCCACATGGCAAGGTCTATTTTCTCCAAACTCTACCAGTGTTCACATTTGGGCATATTGAGTATTTGTGCCAAGTTTGATCCAGATCCATCATTGCTTGAGTCCACAGTCTGGATATAGGTGAACTACAACTCCAAAAACTCAAGGTCAATGTCTACCAGACCTTCCCAATATTTTCTCTTGGTCATGGGAATTCTGTGTGCCATGTTTGATTCAATTGCATCGTTGATGGAGTTCAGAAGGCTCTTTGATTTAAGGTGTACTATAAATCCCAGCAACTCCAGCATTACCAAATGACAAAATCAATCACCCCCAATCCCACAAGTATTCAAATTTTGGGCGTATCAGGTATTTGTGCCAAATTTGGTCCAGTGACTGAAAATACATCCTGCATATCAGATATTTACATTACAATTCATATCAGGAGCAAAATTACAGTTATGAAGTAGCAACAAAAATAACGTTATGGTTAGGGGTCATCACAGCATGAGGACCTGTATTAAGTGGCCACAGCATTAGGAAGGTTGAGAACCACTGGCCTAGATGATTAAATATGCTTATCTGTGAGTGAGCAGTTGGAGACTACTGGATGGCATATGTTCTGCATAAGAACCTAGAGCTGATGTGATCTATCCAATGCAATCTTCTGAATCAGCACCCCAAATAACCCAACAGAATCTAAAGCTGACCAAAAAATGATTTGTAACCCTTTTAGACTAATGTTGAAGAGTGGTTAAGTGATCCCTGGTCAAGAAAAGGTTGGGAACCACTGATCTATACAAATAGGTAAATTAGCATGTTAACATTAAGCAGGAATCTCCCATTCACTAATTTCCAAACTTGTTTCGATCAGGGCCCACGTTGACCAGGGCCCACTTGACCAGGAACCACGTTGACCAGGGCCCATTTGAGCAGGGCTCACTTGACCAGGGCCCACTTTGAGCAGGATTCACTTTGAGCAGGGCCCACTTTGAGCAGGGCCCACATGACCAGGGCCCACATTGACCAGGGCCCATGTTGACCAGCGGTTACTTTGGCCAGGGCACACTTGACCAGGGCTCACATTGACCAGGGCTCACGTTGACCAGGGCCCATGTTGACCAGGGCCCATGCTGACCAGGACCCACTTTGACCAGGTCCCACTTGACCAGGGCCCACTTGACCAGGGCCCACTTGACCATGGCCCACTTTGACCAAGGCCCACTTGACCATGGCCCACTTTAACCAGGGCCCACTTGACCATGGCCCACTTTAACCAGGGCCCAGTTGATCAAGGGTCACTTGACCAGGACCCACTTGACCAGGACCCACTGTGACCATGCTCACTTGACCAGGGCCCTCTTTGAGCAGGGCCCACTTGACCAGGGCCCATGTTGACCAGGGCTCATGTTGATCAGGGCCCACATTGACCAGGGCCCATGTTGACCAGGGGCTACTTTGGCCAGGGCCCACGTAACCAGGGCACACTTTCAGCAGGGCTCACGTTGACCAGAGCCCACATTGACCAGGGCCCATGTTGACCAGGGGTTACTTTGGCCAGGGCTCACTTGACCAGAGCGCACTTTGAGCAGGGCCTACATTGACCAGGGCCCACATTGACCAGGGCCCATGTTGACCAGGGTGCACATTGACCAGGTCCCACTTGACTAGGGCCCACTTTGACCAGTGCCCACTTGACCAGGTACCACTTCAACCAGGGCCCACTTTAACCAGGGCCCACTTGACCTTGGTACACTTTAACCAGGGACCACTTGACCAAGGGTCACTTGACCAGGGCCTTCTTTAACCAGGGCCCTCTTTGACCAGGGCCCACTTGACCAGGGCCCACTTGACCAGGGCCCACTTGACCAGGGCCCACTTTGACCAGGGCCCACTTGACCAGGGCCCACTTGACCAGGGCCCACTTGACCAGGGCCCTCTTTGACCAGGGCCCACTTGACCAGGGCCCACTTGACCAGGGCCCACTTGACCAGGGTCCTCTTTGGCCAAGTCTCACTTAACCAGGGACCACTTTGGCCAGTAATCCAACATTATTAGCAAGAGGGGCAGGGCTGCTTAACCCTGTGGAAAGGAGCAGAATTAAATTAAATCAAATTAATAAAGAGGAAGGAGGTTTGTGGACCTTATATTCAATCTCGTGGCCCATTTCTAGGCCATGGCCCACAGGTTGAGAACCATTACTCTAGAGAGATAGACCGATAGATAGATTAGCACACTAAAATTAAGTTTCTCCATCTCAAATTCAAACTCATAAGTCCAATGTTATGATGCAATAAAAGCTTTATTCAGAAAGAAAGAAAAAAGCATACAGCTGTGTGAACAGGTTCCATATTAAAAACAGTGGAGGAAGAGAAGGAGATCTTCTGCCTTGAAAGAGAAGCTTTCCTTCTCTTCCTCCCTCCCTTCTTCACTTGCAATCCCATAAGGATGAGACACCAGTTCTGTCAAAGGAGCATGAAGCCAATAGGAACTGAAAAAGTACAAAGATAAGGACAATATGGTAGACAAGTCACTAATGAAAGGCACAAACGGGCCAGATCAGCAGGGATGCACAGCAGTCCCCCAGCTCCGATTGACATGAACTGGGAAGAGTCCTGAACATCTCTCGCCACAGGCCTGAGAGTTTAGCCATGGATTCTTGGTCGTTCTTCTTTTCTGATTCTTGGGGTCAAAAGTCCATGAGATGTTTAGTAGCAGGGAGAGCAGCCGATGCCTCTTATGCCTGAACACCCGCCAGCGACTGCGCATGGAGTTGTGCCTCCAACAGCAATGGGCTCACAGCTGGCAGACAAGATAGCTCCTGGCATGGTCACAACGAAAGGAGGTGGCTGGATAACACACTCGGCTGGTGGGAGCTGGTTGATACATGAAGGGCAGACGCCCGGCACAGTTCCAAGGCAGCAGGATGATGTTGAGGTTCCACACCGCTGGGCTCCAATGCCAACACATGGGGTGGAAGAGCAGGATGGGACCACACAGGAAGGTCCACAACAGGATGGCTGACAGCAAGACATGGCTGAGGAATGGAGGTGAGTCTGGAAGAACACAAGAGAAAACACATGTGGTTTTACACATGAGAAGTTCTGGACTACCCATCGGTGATGGGATCATCCTACCCAAGGAAAGGATTTACCAACAAGCTATGCCTCTCCATATGATAAATATTAGAGGTTTGGATTTTTTTAAGCCTGCAGAAGAGAATAATAAAATCAAAGAGAACTTGTGGCCATTCAGTCCAACCTCATTCTGCCAAGAAGCAGGAAAATCACATTCAAAACATCCCTGACAGATGGCCTCAAAAGAAGGAGCCTCCACCACCAAAGAAGGAGCCTCAACCACCAAAAAAGGAGCCTCAACCACCAAAGAAGGGGCTTCAACCACCAAAGAAAGAGCCTCAACCACCAAAGAAGGAACCTCAACCACCAAAGAAAGAACCTCAACCACCAAAGAAGGGACTTCAACCACCAAAAGAAGAAACCTCAACCACCAAATAAGTAACCTCAGCCACCAAAGAAGGAGCCTCAACCACCAAAGAAGGAGCCTCAACCACCAAAGAAGGAACCTCAACCAACAAAGAAGGAGCCTCAACCACCAAAGAAGGAGCCTCCACCACCAAAGAAGTAGCCTCAACCACCAAAGTAGAAGCCTCAACCACCAAAGAAGGAGCATCAACCATCAAAGAAGGAGCCTCAACCACCAGCCTCAACCACCAAAGAAGGAGCCTCCACCACCAAAAAAGGAGTCTCCACCAGAAGGTTAAGATGATAACCATGTATGAATATTTGAAAGGATGTCCTAAGGAAGATGGAGCAGGCTTGTTTTCCGCTACTCTGAAAACTAAGACTCAATGGGGCCATGGGTTCAAATGGCAGGAAAGGACATCCCACCTGAACATTAGAAAGAACTTCTTAACCATAAGAAGTGGGACTCATTGCCTCAGAGTGTACGGAAAGATCCTTCATTGGAGGCTTTTAAATAGAAGCTGGATGACCATCTGTCAAGGATATTTTGATCGTGCTTTTCCTGCATAGCAAAAGGTTGGACTGAATAGCCCTTGGGGTCTCCTCCAATTCCATGATTCCATGATTCTAACATAGAAAGGAGGATGAGGATGAAAGGAATGAAGAATATTCTACCCAGTGGTTCTCAACCTGTGGGTCCCCAGATATTTTGGCTTTCAACTCCCAGAAATCCTAACAGCTGGTAAACTGGCTGGGATTTCTGGGAGGTGTCGACCAAAACATCTGAGAACCCACAGGTTGAGGACCACTGTTCTACACTGAAGGGTCCTAAGATAGAAAACAGAGTTATTAAACCTATAGTAGAACACCAAAAGAAGAGAAGGAAGGAAGAAGAGTGATAGAAGGGGGGGGGAAGAAGTCTCCTTCCTTGAAATTATTAATATGCTAGCAGAACATCAAGATGAGAAGGTGATGAAGAGGAGGAAGAGGTGGAGGAGGAATCCATGTTATAATTTATCTGGATTCTGGTTTTTTTACCTAGTCCAGTGGTTCTCAACCTGCGGTCCCCAGATGTTTTTGGCCTTCAACCCCCATAAATCCTAACAGTTGGTAAACTGGCTGGGATTTTTGGGAGTTGTAGGCCAAAAACATCTGGGGACGCCAGGTTGAGAACCACTGACCTAGTCGTACTCTCAGTATGAGACACAAGATGGCTATGGATTCTCCTGTTCTCTTGACCGTATCGGTAATTAAATCACTTTTAACTTAGGTCAATCTTAGAAGGAAAGACATTCATGAGAACTTGCCTGAGCTTTGTCAACTTGGGACTGTGGTTTCCTACTTCCATTGTTGGTTTTACATAGGAAAACAGCACATTCAGAAGTGATTTTCCCCTTGTCTTCTTCTACATCTCTTTTGGTGTTCTACTACAGTGGTTCCCAACCTTTGGTCCTCCAGATGTTTGGAACGTCAGCTCCCATAATTCCTAACAGCTGGTAAACGGACTGGGATTTCTAGGAGTTGAAGTCCAAAACAACTGAAGGATGAAAAGTTGTGAAACACTGTAGTACTGAAACTCAAATAGCTCTTCTACTTTTTAGGTCGGTGGTTCTCAACCTGTGGGTCCTCAGGTGTTTCGGCCTACAACTCCCAGAAATCCCAGCCAGTTTGGCAGATGTTGGGATTTCTGGGAGTTGAAGGTCAAAATATCTGGGAGCTCACAGGTTGAGAACCACTGTTTTAGGTGATGGCACTCTCCATTAGTGGCTTCTCCCACTACTGATGCTACCCAACAGCTTCCTTTCCAGAACTTCTCAGCAATTGTCATCATTGGAATGAGTCAATCGTTTATCTATGTGGTACTGAAACTCAAATAGCTCTTTCTACTTTTTAGGTCGGTGGTTCTCAACCTGTGGGTCCTCAGGTGTTTTGGCCTACAACTCCCAGAAATCCCAGTCAGTTTGCCAGCTGTTGAAGGCCAAAGTATCTAGGAGCTCACAGGTTGAGAACCACAGTTTTAGGTGATGGCACCCTCCATTAGTGGCTTCTCTCATTACTGATGCTACCCAACAGCTTCCCTTCCAGAACTTCATCATTGGAATGCTCCAATCTTTTCTCCTGAAGTGGCCATGACTTCTTGAAGAAGACAGATGCAAGTGTGAGTTGACTTGATGTCACCTAACAACAACAAAGTTCAGATAAATCCCACGTAAGGAGGCACAAAATTCCTTGGCCAAGCCAAGCTTACCTGATCTTCAGAAGAGAAGAAATGCAAGCGATAGGTAGAGATGAAGCTGCTGGAATACCAAATACCAAGGCGGGTTTTTATACTGTTTCTCCTATATCCTGAAGGCCTTGAAACCACCACTTTGCTCAGTAGTATTAATTAAAAACCTTTACAAAGGAATCTGCTGGCTCCATCATCTTTAAAATTACTGTAATAACCCCAAAGGTTGTTCTTGTTGCTGTGTGCATTTGAGTTGTTTCCGACCCATGGCTGCCCTAAAGCCAACCTAGGACAGAGCTTTCCTGGCAAAAATGGGGGACAAATGGGCTGTAAATGGGTAATTACAGTGAATCACAGGCCCTATGCCCCTTAATTTTAATTTTTCCTCCTCCTTGCAAATGTTGATTAGATATATTTTCCAACTCAGTGCCCAAAGGCTGAAGTTACGTGTTTGCCCCATGTTTCAATGGGACAGAACACATGATTCACTTGGCTTGCTCCATTTGGAGAGCTGTAAACATGTTTGGTTATTTTGGTCCTTCTTTAGGTTAAGTTGCTTACTTCTGTTTGCCTAGGACAGTGGTTCTTTACTTGTGGGCTGCGGACCACGAGTAGGCCGAAAGAACAAAAATCTGCTCCACAAGCCTCCTATTTTATTTTATTTTATTTTATTTTATTTTATTTTATTTTATTTTATTTTATTTTATTTTATTTTATTTTATTTTATTTTATTTATTTTATTTTATTTTATTTTATTTTATTTTATTTTATTTTATTTTATTTTATTTTATTTTATTTTATTTTATTTTATTTTATTTTATTTTATTTTATTTTATTTTATTTTATTTTATTTTATTTTATTTATTTTTATTTCCACTCCTTTCACATTGCCTGACACTCCTTCTCTGTCACTGACCAATGCAATTTTCTGAATCAGCACTCCAAACAGAATATAAAGTTGACCAAAGACCAATTCATAACCCTTTTGGAACGAATGTTGGAGAGTGGTCCCTGCTCAAAGTGGTCTCTGGTCAAGTGGTCCCTGCTCAAAGTGATCCGTGGTCAAGTGGTCCCTGGTCAAAGTGGTCCCTGGTCAAAGTGATTCCTGTTTAAAGTGATGCCTGGTCAAAGTGGTCCCTGGTCAAGTGGTCCCTGGTAAAAGTAGTCCATGTTCAAGTGGTCCCTGGTCAAAGTGGTCCCTGGTCAAGTGGTCCCTGCTTAAAGTAGTCTGTGGTCAAGTGGTCCCTGGTCAAAGTGGTCCATGATCAAGTGGTCCCTGGTCAAAGTGGTCCCTAGTCAATGTGGTCTCTGGTCAAATTGGTCCCTGGTCAAATTGGTCCCTGGTCAAGTGCTCCCTGGTCAAAGTGGTCCCTGGTCAAGTGGTCCCTTCTCAAAGTGGTCCCTGGTCAAAGTGATCCCTGGTCAAAGTGGTTCCTGGTCAAGTGGTCCCTTCTCAAAGTGGTCCCTGGTCAAGTGCTCCCTGGTCAAAGTGGTCCCTGGTCAAGTGGTCCCTTCTCAAAGTGGTCCCTGGTCAAAGTGATCCCTGGTCAAAGTGGTTCCTGGTCAAGTGGTCCCTTCTCAAAGTGGTCCCTGGTCAAGTGCTCCCTGGTCAAAGTGGTCCCTGGTCAAGTGGTCCCTTCTCAAAGTGGTCCCTGGTCAAAGTGATCCCTGGTCAAAGTGGTTCCTGGTCAACTGGTCCCTTCTCAAAGTGGTCCCTGGTCAAAGTGATCCCTGGTCAAAGTGGTTCCTGGTCAAGTGGTCCCTTCTCAAAGTGGTCCCTGGTCAAAGTGATCCCTGGTCAAAGTGGTCCCTGGTCAAGTGGTCCCTTCTCAAAGTGGTCCCTGGTCAAAGTGATCCCTGGTCAAAGTGGTTCCTGGTCAAGTGGTCCCTTCTCAAAGTGGTCCCTGGTCAAGTGCTCCCTGGTCAAAGTGGTCCCTGGTCAAGTGGTCCCTTCTCAAAGTGGTCCCTGGTCAAAGTGATCCCTGGTCAAAGTGGTCCCTGGTCAAGTGGCTCCCTGGTCAAAGTGGTCCCTGGTCAAGTGGTCCCTTCTCAAAGTGGTCCTTGGTCAAAGTGATCCCTGGTCAAAGTGGTTCCTGGTCAACTGGTCCCTTCTCAAAGTGGTCCCTGGTCAAAGTGATCCCTGGTCAAAGTGGTTCCTGGTCAAGTGGTCCCTTCTCAAAGTGGTCCCTGGTCAAAGTGATCCCTGGTCAAAGTGGTCCCTGGTCAAGTGGTCCCTTCTCAAAGTGGTCCCTGGTCAAAGTGATCCCTGGTCAAAGTGGTTCCTGGTCAAGTGGTCCCTTCTCAAAGTGGTCCCTGGTCAAGTGCTCCCTGGTCAAAGTGGTCCCTGGTCAAGTGGTCCCTTCTCAAAGTGGTCCTTGGTCAAAGTGATCCCTGGTCAAAGTGGTTCCTGGTCAACTGGTCCCTTCTCAAAGTGGTCCCTGGTCAAAGTGATCCCTGGTCAAAGTGGTTCCTGGTCAAGTGGTCCCTTCTCAAAGTGGTCCCTGGTCAAAGTGATCCCTGGTCAAAGTGGTCCCTGGTCAAGTGGTCCCTTCTCAAAGTGGTCCCTGGTCAAAGTGATCCCTGGTCAAAGTGGTTCCTGGTCAAGTGGTCCCTTCTCAAAGTGGTCCCTGGTCAAGTGCTCCCTGGTCAAAGTGGTCCCTGGTCAAGTGGTCCCTTCTCAAAGTGGTCCCTGGTCAAAGTGATCCCTGGTCAAAGTGGTTCCTGGTCAACTGGTCCCTGCTCAAAGTGGTCCCTGGTCAAATTGGTCCCTGGTCAAAGTGGTCCTGGTCAAATTGGTCCTTGGTCAAATTGTTCCATGGTCAAGTGGTCCCTGGTCAAAGTGGTTCCTGGTCAAAGTGATTCCTGGTCAAAGTGGTTCCTGGTCAAAGTGATCCCTGGTCAAAGTGGTTCCTGGTCAAGTGGTCCCTGATCAAAGAAAAAGTTTGGGAACCACTGGCCTAGGACAAGTATATTCCTGTTGTTCTCCCTCGGTTTTTTCTCAGCATGCCCTACTTTGTTCCAGATCAAAACACAAAGGGTTTGTCAACACAAATCAAGAAGTCAAGACCCATCTCAAATCTAGAACTGGCAATCCCTTATATAGGCTGCAACTCCTGTCTTTTGTTCTTAAGCCAACTTTTCTTTGCCTTAAGCAAAATAAGGGGCTACTCAGAAAGTGGCAAGATAGCAGGAAGCTCTGGAGTGTTCATGGACTTCACGTCAACTGGATTATGTCCATTTCAGATCAATACATTGCCTATACCAGTGGTTCCAAACCTTTTTTTGACCAGGGACCACTTGAAGAGTGACCACTTGAAGAGGGACCACTTTGAACAGGGACCACTTTGACCAGGCATCACTTGACCAGGGACCACTTGACCAGGAACTACTTTGACCATGGACCACTTGACCAGAGACCACTTTGACCAGGGACCACTTGACCAGGGACCACTTGAACATGGACTACTTTGACCAGAGACCACTTGAGCAGTTTTGGTCAAGCAGTTTTGGTGACAACATGGAGGGGAAGGTGATGGGCCCACAACTTGAAGAATTAGCCAGTGGTGTCCAACCTTTGGGTTCTCCAGCTCTTTAGGAGTCCAAAGAACCTGGCAAGCTTGTCCAATAGACAAGGATTCTGGGAGCTCAAGCCCAAAACATCTGGAGGATCAATGGTTGGACACCACTGGGATAGACCATTGGGACCCAGATTCAGGAAATATATATTAGATCTGGAACTGTTCTGCATTTGCAGCATTTAGACTTGACCAAAGTGATTTATGATACCAAAGCAGATTTTATGATGCCAATAGGCAAAAAGAGAAGCAAGAAGTAGACATAAGGATAATGGAGATCACATCCATTCTGATTTTTGAGTAGACTGTTTTGATCAGTTCTAATGAAAATAGACACAATGTAGAAACATAGAATCATAGAGTTGGAAGAGACCCCAAGGGTCATTCAGTCCCATCATCTACTATGAAGGGACACACAATCCAAGCTCTCCCAACAGATACCTACTCAGCCTCTGCTTAAAATCCTTCAGAGAAAGAGATTCCATCATCAACTCTCGGGCAACATATTCTACTGTTGAATGGCTCTTACCATCAAGATGTTTTCCTAATGTTTAGGTGGGATCTTGTCTCCCAAAATTCGACTCCATTGTGTCCTAGCCTCCAGAGCATCAGCAAACCAACTTTCTTGCCCCTCAATGCAATACCTCAGCCTTCTTTTCTCCAAGCTAAACATACCCAGGCCCATAAATTTCAGTTAAATTCCAGGTGAGGTCTGACCAAAGCAGAATAGAGTGGGACTATGACTTTGACTTCATCTAGACACTAGACTGCTATTGATGCAATTATTGGATTTTTTAGCTGTTGCATCACATTGTTGACTCATGTTCAGGTTATGGTCTACTAAAACTCCTAGTATATATATGGTATATATTAGGCTTGGGTAACCACGGAAAAATTTGGTTCTAAACTCGTTTCGTTTTTAGGGGGCCCTTGCATTTCGTTTTTTTAAAGAATTCTGAAATTTTCCTTTAAAAAAGTTCGAAATATACGAAATTTTGTAAAATTACGAATTGATTCGTTAATGGAGGACGCGATTGCGCAATATGCTAAAAAACCCTCCAAATGGGACAGGGGGAACTTCTGAAGCTTCCCTCTCCCTCTCTTGTTGATTGTTAGTGTGATAATTTATTTTTTATCACTGATAAAACAAACAACAACTATAAAACTTGCACCAGACATATGGAAATAATTACAAAACAATTTCGAAACAATTTCGAAACAATTTTGAAACAATTACGAAACAATTACGAAACAATACGAAATAAATTGGAAAAATTGTTTCGATTTTTAATTACTTCTCACAGTAGTCCTGCATGGCTCAATATTGGATCGTAAGCTAATTTAAATACGAATTAATAACGAATTACGAAATTAACGAACGAAACCACCCAAGTCTAGTATATATAAGTAGGCTGGCAAGTGGGTAGTTTGAGAAGAATTCTGGATGTCAATTATTTTTGAATGCATGAAAAATAAGTTGATGAAACTATATGCTGGGTGTGGTATGTTCAAAGTATTCAGTTTGGTAATGGAACAAAGGAGCATGATCTGGAA